AATCCCAGCACTTTGGGAGGCTGAGGTGGGCGGATCACCTGAGGTCAAGAGTTCAAGACCAGCCTGTCCAACATGGTGAAACCCTCTCTCTACTGGAAGAAAAAAAAAAAAAATTAGCCAGGTCTGATGGCGTGCACCTGTACTCCCAGCTACTAGGGAGGCTGAGGCAGGAGTATTGCTTGAACCCGGGAGGCAGAGGTTGCAGTGAGCCAAGATCAGATCATGCCACTGCATTCCATATCCTGGGCAACAGAGCAAGACTCCGTCTCAAAAAAAAAGAGAGAGAGAGGAAAAAAAAAAAAAGGAAAAAAATTTTCCTGTTGTACTGTTCAAGAAAGTCAAGAAACCCCATAATTACCTTAGCAGCAGCCATTGCAGTCTTTTTAGATGCTTGCTTAGCCTTTTTTGCTTCCTTAGCAGCCCTGTGGGGTAAAAATAACTTAAGGCAAAAGCACTTTACTCCTTAGTGGTACAACTTACTATTAGAGTTAGACTGTACTGCACAAGTACAATGACCATATGCCTTCCTTCCCCTCCTGCATTTATTTGTAGGCTAAATCCAAAGAGTTTGTCAATAATTTTCATTAACCACCAAATCACCTTAAAATATATTAGACTATATGGTAACTTTAATTACTGAAGACCCAAACCTAAAATCCATCCCAATAGGTGAAACGCTCATAATGAAAGCATTCCTCACCTGATAGCTTGTTCTCGTTGAGCCTTTCTAACTTCAGGTTTCTGATTCCTCTTGGCCATTATATCAGCAAGAGATGCACCAGTAATGGCCCTCTGGAATTTGACTGCTCGGCGGGTTCTTTTCTTTTGAATTTCTTCCTGTAAAACAAAGATGAGGGGCACACTTAGGAACCTTCCTTCAAGAATTTAGAGGGAGGAAAAATTAAGTCTTTTAAGACAGGGCAAATGAAGTCTTTTAATATTCATATTCAACAAAAAATAATTCATACAATTATTTGAATATAAAACATGTTTTCCACTTATGGATTAAGCTCTCTATTACAAATCCTAGCCATTTTTTACCTTAAAGAGACACACAAAAAATTGAACTCTAAGGAAAATGGTTATTCCATGAACTGCATAGTATAAATGAAGACTATTTATACTTTTAATAATTTACTTATTGAAAAAAATTATCAAATTCAGCTGTTTTAACTCAAAGGACTGTCACTAGGAGAAATACTCAAGTTAGACAATGATTTGACAGGAGAGCCACCAAATGTTAGGTAGGATATGTCTAAGAAGGCGTTGTGGAATCTAACATTTCCTGTACATTCTATATTGGAAACCTGTACTACAGTATTTATGAGAAAAAGATCTTGCAGTGCACCTTTAAGTCCAAGAACAAAGTATATTTGAAAAATTGTTTATTAAGGCACAGAAATGCAAAAGTACCTTAAAAACTTTTAACAAAAATAAAGCACATTGGTGGTTTACAGACATTCTAATTTTAAACTTTTTAGAAAGATGAAATCTTGTTTCTACAGTAAAATGGCAGTTTTTCTACAGTAAATGGCAGTATTTACCTGCTTAATATTTTTGTCTCAAACCAACACAAACATTTTTCTTATTGTGGTAAAAATGTAAAGTTGACAATTTTAACCTTTTTTTTAAAAAAAAAAAAAAAAAAGACCAAGCCTTGCTCTGTTGCCCAGGCTGAAGTGCAGTGGCATGATCTTGGCTCACTGCAGCCTCCGCCTCCGCCTCCGGGGTTCAAGCAATTCTGCCTCAGCCTCCCAAGTAGCTGGAATTACAGGCACCTGCCACCACACCTGGCTAATTTTTGTATTTTTAGTAGAAACCAGGTTTGACCATGTTGCCTAGGCTGGTCTCGACCTCCTGAGCTCAGGCAATCCGTCCGCCTCGGCCTCCCCAAGTGCTAGAATTACAGGCATGAGCCATCATCCCCGGCCTGTTTTCTATTTTTT